TTTTTTTTGTTTTTTGTTTATTCGGTCGCGTTTTGTTCGGAGTTCATGGTTTTTTTAATATTGTCAAATCAGAGTTTGTTCCTAGGAAATTTGGTCTTTCTTTTTCTTTTGCTTGCCAGACTATGAAATGATYGAGTGTGTTTTATTCACTTTCCAGACATGAAGAAACAACACGTAATAGAGACACTGATTGGAAAGAAACAACAGATCAGTCTCGCCACACAGCTAGTTAAGATGATCCTGAAGATCGATGACATCAGAATCCAGGGAGGTTCATCATAATGCAGAATACAAATCCAGAATGCAAGAATCGATGTGTGAGCCGTAGAGGTTGCGTGTTGTTAGTCGACAGCGTTCAATTGAGCAGACTTCGTGTTTGTGTGGGTTAGGACGTGACGTGACGTGCGGTGATTGTGATTTTGTCATGTTTGGGTAACGTAATCAATCTACTATGTCGTGTTTGATTTTTCAATTTTGGAGAAGATTTTGTATGGCGTAACTGTCACGTGCAGCACGGTCACGGCACAGAGTTAACAACAGCTGTCACGGCTTGCGACATTACTGCTTACCCAATCAGAATATTGAGCCATGGTATCATCACGGTCACGGCATGTCACGTCTTTAAAGCAAGGCTTTTCACCAAAGTACTGACTCAACTGCTGACTAAATACTTCCTCTATTGCAAATTCTTGATTTTCATGTGACGTCACAGTCGCCATGTTGGATGTTTTTTTTTATATATAAAACCCGAATCTTAGTCATTGCTTTTGTTATAACATCCAGCATGGCTGATATGTATTTTTCCCTTCGTTCTTTAAAGAATGAATTCTATCCAAGAATAAATTCGTCATGATGAAGAAAATGTTGGTACTCATGCAAATGTCGGTTAAGGTGACTGCCTATTTTTGGAAAACGATTTAAACTTTTTTTTAAACTTCCATTTTCCCAATTGAAATTTAATGCTGATTCCAAATCTGGAAAGAAATATTGGGTGTCCCGAGCTTGTTTTCGAGATAATAAGCATTTAATGGAAGTGTATGGTTCTTCAATAAAATCTTATAGATTTTTCAGCGGTTTTTGAGCGCGCGCGCATCTTGGGCTCAAATCGAACGTTCAAAAGTAGGCAGCCACCTTAAATGTAAAGGTTCGCCCAATAAATAGTTATTCCGAGGTTAGGGGAAAAACTGGGGTGAGTTTGCAGTGCATTGTGGGACTGTTTTAGGGGCGAAATAGACGTCATCGTGGAAATATGTCCCCTTAAACAATCCCACAATGCACTGCAATACCAACTCAATCAGTCTTCTCCACAACCTAGAAATGGCTGATATTAAATTCTTCCCATCTGTTTGAGGATTAGCTCAAGACTTTTTAGTTCTTTCCTGTCTGTTTCTTTCTCCCATTATTATCCACGTTTCCTGAGGCAACATCACAGTATTTACTACCATTATCGTTGACGTGGGAACCAGAAAGTTAGATGTAGATTTTAAAATGCTTTTACTACTTCTTACGCTATTCTTCATCACCTACTAAGAGTTTCCGTCATTGGATTTAACTTGTCGCAAACTTAGCGTGATTTAAAAACCTTTCGACAGTGCTATCACTCATTTCACAAAACGAAAACGTGTGTGCTTGCAGATGAAATCTATTTTTGGCGTAATGTTTTTTTTTTCTTGTTTTTGGGGGGGGGGGGGGGGGGGATTGGGACTGGGAAGTTTTCCAAATACAAATAGACTTTTCCTCAATATTGAGTAAACGAAATATGATGAACATTCGTGTTATATTGATATTCCTTATTGAGAAGCACCGACCTTAATTGCTTTCCAAATGGTTTTTTTTTTTTTCGTTTACACGTATTTGTGTATTTTCAAAAACCGGACAAGATACGATGGAAGCTGTTTGCGCGCTATTTTGCATCACAGCAGCATATCTTGATCCTGCTTCTGCAACGTTGAGCGCAAAAGTTGGTTGAAAATATGGTGTAATTTTTCGATGGCGCCCTACACGAAGTGGAAATGGAAATGGTCAACTTTAKAGGATATTACTTTAATGCTTTCGTGTGTTGATCAAAAAAAAGCTTAATTCCAGAGAACTAAAATTAGGCTCTGTTAGCTAGCGGAACATTCCACATTTCAATTGACCTGTTTTTGAAAAACAATTGCGACGATAAGAGTCTTTAATTGTCTGTTTATTTTATCATACACTCAAATAGCGAGAGAACGAGGACGAATCGCTCAAATCTCTTACTCTATAACCTAAAACTCCTCAGGCGCTCCTGCTTGGGGAGGGGATGTTTGCAATGCAAGTCATTTTCTATCTATAGAACCGATAAGGAACGCCAACAAAAGAAGCGGCTCTTTATAGATGTTGATTCCTTTTGTGTGTAATTTTGAATTTTTCGCACCAAAACGTGACTGCCTAAAAATATATGTCAAATCGAAGGTGACAAAACATCAAATAAAACCGACCTAATTTGATCAAATTATAAGGGAATTTTAAGATATTATTTTCAACTAAGTGATTTGCCTGAAGCAATGTTCATTTTTGTGATGGAATACTTTATGCCTGGTAGCTGGTTGGTGTTGTCAGTCAGGTTTAGGATTTCCTGATTACTATTAACTTTGTTTTGTGTTCGTTTGTTTGAAAGATTTGGTTATGAGAAATTCACTAATGATGAAAATAAAAGCTACGGTGCTAAAAGTATGAGAATCGGATCCGATCAGACAGTCGCTCGATCTTCGAGCTAAAGAATAATGAAAGGAAAGTGAAATAAATAAAACAAAAAGGTAAGTGAAGGAGAGAAAAAGGTATATGGGAGGGAAATTCAGGACTAAGCGATCGAACAGTAGATGGAAATATTAATTCAGAAGAAGTAGATTAAGTTTTTTTTGTTGTTCGGTTTAAACAAAAAAAAAAAAAAAAAAAAAAAAAAAAAAAAAAAAAAAAAAAAGAAAAGAAGTTAGGATAAAAGAAAATTAAAAGAAAGGAATAAGATGAAGAAAGCATGTAGTAATGAATTAACAGTGGAATAAGCGAAAGAATAAATATAGACACAATACCATGCAAGTTGTTATAAGTACAATGGAGTGAATGTAGGAGATATACAGTGTATATACGAAATGTTAGACATTTTGATTTGCTTGTTTTGTTTTGTTTTTTGTTTGTGTGTGTGGCGGTGTGTATGTGTGAAAAAAAAGTAGGAATAAGATCAACATGAAAAAAAAGTATAGAATTAGGAAAGCCGAGTAAGAGAATGAAAATGAGAATGAGGGGGGAAAGGAAAAGCATGATGGTTTTGAAAATAACAAAAAATATTCAAAAAAGAATCTTACCCAGTTTACTAAGGTTCGATACAAGACTAGCCGCGTTTTTGATATGATCATCTATTTTGCAGTACATTTGTTTATAGCGTCTGCCCTTAGGTAATAACTCGTTTGATCTTCACTAAGATTAGAAACCTTTCTTCTATATTTCTCATAAAGTTCGGTCTCATTTCCCTAACCTAATTGAGATCAAATATAACTAGCTTTTCTTCTTACTTCGAGTGTTCATAATCGAAATCCCTTTTACGAAAAAATAATTACGATAAATATTTTACTTTTGGAAGGATATTAAAAAAATAAAATCACCAATCACCATGATATGAGAACAAGTACCAATATTAGATTTTTCTTTTGTTATGATAGATTTATCCCATACATGTAAACATCTTCAAGAACAACTCGTTTCTATGTATTTGATTAATTAGCGCTCATAGACTAGAAATGGCTGTTTCTCATTAGACGTACTGAGTAGCTTTCTGGAAGGCAAATACGGATTTCAACAGCTGCTGGGTTCCTAAAGATAAATATAAATAGCATACGAAGATTTTATTGTGTATCCAAAAATCCTTTATACAAGTAACACTGTACATTTTTATACAACAGAGATATTTCCTGTTTTTGTTGTTGAATGTTTGGTGTTCTTGCTCGTATGTATCAATTTTTTGTACGTCCTGTTTATTTTATTTTATTTTATTTGGCGCTAATCTTAGCAGTTAATCTTAGAAGTCGTTATATTATTCACCGCGGTCATCAATCACAGTTACTTACGTCATGGATCGACTTATCTCCTTCCACAGGTCTCACTTCACCCTTAATGTCAATGAATGTAGACCGTGGGTCAGAGAAGAAAAGTTGTACGTATTGAGTTAACTTTAGTTCGAGAAAATATCGGCCAAGCATTGAAGTGCAGATTGAGTCAGACAAGATACTAAGAACGACAAGTAACGTTTGGTAAGTGAACGAGAACTCTGTCCTTTATCATAAATTTGAATAAATTTTCAATAGGAATTTTATTTGGAGCTGGAAGTATCTCAGTAATTTGCTTGATAGGACTATAACTTTGAGTAAGAGCTCTCGGTAAGAGCTGTCGACATCTCCAACAAGCGCCAGCGAGCCCGTTGTGCCCGCGGACATTTGTGCCTGTCATGCGCGCGCGCCCGCGCCAGTGACGCCTGTTCATTACTGTTGTTATTGGTCGGCCATCTTGCGACTACGTTTCATTATTAAAGCTTGTTCATTCGTTTACGTCGTTCGTCGTGTTTACTGGCGAAGTTTTATTTCTCTTCATTTTCCAAATGATACTTACGCCTTGTTGATTATTTTTTAACTACTACCTACTCTATTAAAGTTACACAGATCCTCTTCATCGTTTGAATCAGTTCCTGTCGGATAAAATCTTTAGTTGCAAACACCGCGGACTACTTCCATGAAAACGCTTTTCGAGACAATTGCTTTGGGTATTTTTTTTWAAAAGAACTAGTATTCTATTCCCAACATGAACTACGAAACATTACGATAAGAACTAGTTGGAAATTAATCGTTAATTTAGAACGAGTCGAGGAAAGGTTTTATCCAGCCGACTCAGGGGGGAAATTTTGTAAGTTACTTTTTCTCGGGCACCCGTGAAGCGAATCGAAACCACGCGGTGAAAATCCGAAATAATTTTTTCACCAAAGGTTAAAGTATCGTCTGGTTTTTCATCGCTTCTCTCTGCAAACTTCAAAACATGTTGTGGGTGTTGTAATTTAATCTTTTAACTTCCTTAGTATCGGCATGGATTCTGCCCTACGGCGGAGACTATAACAAAGTATATACTTGACGTCTTACTGAGAAATATATATTTGTATGTATTTATTATAGAAACTTAGTCGACTAGTATCTTTTTTACACTTAGTTGTTCAGTTTGCCGTTTCGTTTGGCTTGCTTGGATAGTTGTGGTTGTGGTTGTTGTTGTTTGTTTTGGTTTTTTTTTTTGATTAATTTTTTACTTTCTAAGGGTTAGTTAGGTTCAGTCGGTTGGACAGTCATAAAGTCGATCGGTCGGTTGGTCCGTCAGACTCACTTAGACACCGTTTAGACAATCAGTCCGTCAGTCCGTCAGTCCGTCAGTCCGTCAGTCCGTCAGTCCGTCAGTCCGTCAGTCCGTCAGTCCGATAGGTTGGGTAGATAATAAACCATTCCTAATAACGAAATAATTCAGTGGACGTCGATGATTACTGTCATTGTCGGACTGTGATGATGTCTCTCGTTGCTCCATACGCTAGCTCCACGAGATCTGAGCCAGGTGATTTCGCGCTTCTCTGAACAGCCAGAAAGAATTAGCCAATCAGCGAACAATTTGTTCGTAGCTCAATATTTCCTGGTTCAAGGTTTTCTGCTCGATAGACAACAGCTTTCACTCGACAATAAAGAACGAAAAAGGCTTATCTGTAGAAAGATTCACTAAATATATTTTAGAAATGGATGGTTGGTGATGGGAAATGATATTTCGTTTTGACGAGTCGGAGATGATAGTACTTGGGAGTATTTGCTGTGACAAACAATGCATTGGGCGCCTAGATTCCATGGATTTCAAACCACGTGGAGAGAGTTTGACAGGAAGAGTTGGGCGGTGAGCGAGAGGTTTGGGGGATAACGATTAAGTATCTATTTCATACGGCCGCAATTTCAGTTAGTAAAAGTATTCGTTTCAGTATTTCTCAATTTTTATGAATCGTATCATCCTTTAATCGTAATTGTATGTTAAAATACGTCGAACGTTCTCTTCCTCGAGTCGATCCACACGCGGTTTTCATCTACGAATATCTTGAAGTCACTATTATGTCACATCCATTTTTTATCGTTTCGTCGATAAGGAAGATATTAATAGGCACATTACGAGAATCATTAGCTCTAGGTTGAAGCCAAAATCTGCCATGACAGGGCAATCGACGCGTGAGTGAATAAACTTAGAGGACAATTCATTGGTTTCGGGGAGGATTTGGTGCTAAATATTAGACAAATAAATTGCCTTTTTTGGTAAACACTTGAAGTACAAAACCTGGTTCAATATTAGGGATCGTTCAATTTATTATTTGTCTAAAAGAGTAGTTTGAATGATTCTTTTGTGGTTTTGCTGGAATTGAAAAGAAAATACTGCGAGATTGTTCTAAAAGTAGAAAATAAGGGAAGACAATAGAAAGATGGGTTAAAAGTATCTTAATAATAATAATAAATATGTTTTTATATAGCGCATTATAGACTCTCAATGCGCTTTACAAATACCACGACGAAGTGTCAAGTGAAAAAAAAAAAAGATTAAAGTTACAAATTGAACAAAAATGTTTTTAGTTTTCTCTTGAATATTTCCAAAGACTGCGATGTTTTTATATCTAGTGGTAAACGGTTCCATAGTCTGAGCGCTGCTACGGCAAAGCTACACGCACCATATGACTTAGTACGATATGGAGGTTGTTTTAAAATTACTCCTTGCGTGGCACTCCTTAGCTTACGAGTAGGTTGGTGTATCTTGAGAATATCACTTATATAGGATGGAGCGATATCTTGGGAGAATAGAAGGGGAAAAAATAGATTCTTAATGGTGAAGGAAACGAAAGTCGAAGATCTGCATGCCGGGAGATCTTTTACAAATGTGAGACCAAGTAGCACGCTGCAAATTGTGATATATTGACAGCCGAACAACGTTGTTTCCTCTTAGATTGTAATATGTAAGACCCTTGARATAGAAATGTGATTTTTTGTGTTTTTAGCCAGAAAAAATAAAGGCACAAAAATTCTGTTTAGTCTCAGATGGCGCCCATTTCAATTCTGCGACCGACGGCGTTTTTTTTAATAGGTGTAAACCTACACATTTTCTTTAACGCTGAAATTCGTAAATCAAAAAATATAAACGCATGACGAGGAGCCGTCAAGACGACGTTAGCTTTTTCATCAATATTGAACTTATTGAACAACTTCCTGTTATTAAACGTGCTTTAGCAGAAGACCACGCTTGCACTATATCCCTGAATGTTTATATTCAAAACTGAGGAAAGTAGTCGAAGAATTATAAAAAAGGAGTGGAAATATCTAATGTGACATCGCTCATACATTATTCAATGTTATAAGATAAATAAATAAAAAGACTTACGATGCAAACTAATTTGTTTGCTTGTGGAATGCGATGTATTGGTTATCTTAGTAGAACCACTTTCGGGTTTAAATCAAACCAAAGCCGACATTACAGAAAAGAAAATGAAAAGGAACGACTGCAAACTGTAGTAAGGAATATATGACAAGTATTTGCGCTGTCGTTAATGGAAATGTAATAGAGGTAAATTCATTTAACTTCAAAGTAATTCTTGACTTCTTTTAACTCTTTTTATTGATTTTCATCAAATGGGGCTTGGGAAGTTAGCATTTATCTTTCTAGATTACTCAATTTTACCCTCATTACTGAAATTTCAATTTGTGAGAATTAAATACGTCTTATCTCGACCCAATAAAACAGCAAGTTTCTTTTTCTATTTTTTGTTTTTATTTTTATGAATGAATTCAGGCTGCCGATATTTGATTGTTTTCGCCTATTATCCACTTTCTAATTCAGCTAATGCAAGACCGGAATAGCGTACTTAAAATGTTTGGTAAACTTAACTCAACTAGACAATTATATTAGATTGTTTTATTTTCGCTACAGTAAAGTGGTTATGGTCGAGATTGGAAGAGCGCTATTTCGTCGTCTGAGCTTCCGTTTGACGTTGGCTTTGACGTTAGTAATCGTTTACAATCCATCCACCTTTGATGATTTGCAATGCAACTCAGTTACTAACATCGTTTGTTTAACTTTTGTCATTACGGAATAAGTGGATTTTCAGAAAAGAACGATTTCATTCTAAATTATCTCGCTAATATGTCTTAAAGATGCGATTCTTATCTACTATTTGGCATTCTGGGCGCCTAGTTTGCCTTTTCTAGATCGGAAATAAAAGTTTTACTTCCAAGGCGGCTATCGTTAGCAGTTCATTACTTTAGTACTATTGAAAATCAAGACTGAAACAAAGAAAAAACAATATTGCTTCAATAGTCCGCAATTCGATTTGAATTTTTTTAGTTACTTTGATTATTGTTCAATATGAGCGTTATTCATCCAAAGAAAAAAGTGGCTTTATTAATATTGGTGATGATATTTATGATTTATATTTCGTATAATATCTTGTTCTAATATATTTCGGAAGAATTCAAAGCTTTTATTTTTTCATTTTTATGCTCGTTTATTTTGCCGTTCATTCATTCCTTCTTTCCTTACCGCTTGTTTCATAAGTTTTCTCCTTCTCTCTCTCTCTCTCTCTCTCTCTCTCTCTCTCTCTCTNGGGTGACCGCCTGGGAATACCTGGTGCTGTAGACTTTCTTTTCTCTCTCTCTCTCTCTCTCTCTTTTTCTTTTTTTCTTTCCTTCCTTCCTTTCGTCCTTCCATTCTTTCTTTAACTCGTTCTTTCTTTCTTCCTCAGTATTTCTCTTCCTTTCTCTCTTTMTTTTTCGTTCTTCCTTCTATCTCCCTTTCTGCATTAAAAGAAGATGAGATATCAAATATTTTTAACGAAGTTACAGTCACACAGTTTTTGCCTCTCCTTTTAACTCAACAATTTTTTCCCACATCGTTCAACAAAACCTTACAAGCTAAATTGCAATTCGATCTGTGAGTACGCTGTGCCCCTGCCTTTGATCAAACCGGTAGTCATTTTGGGCGTATCAATGAAATCAGAAGGTTTTTAAAGGAAGCAGACTTTTTTCCTGCTTGACAGGAATTGGGATCAATTAAATTGAAAGCAACCCTGAATATTTGTAGGAACTGACACAATGTCTTGGTTACATGCCACACAGTCATCATAATTGAGTGGCATAAGAGTGRAATGGCACTTTTCATGTTCACCTTGACACGAACTGAAGTTAATTCATTGTTCAGTTCATAGCGT